GAAGGAAGTAATCAATTTGAAACTCTATACATGAATGTGTAGATCATGCAAAGAAGTAACTTTCAGACACAAACTGAAAGAAAGTCCTCCTGAAACAGCTATTTTCATATAAACATTGAATTACCCGAAAGAAAAATTCTTTCGAAACAAATACTTTTATATGAACGCTGAATATTCGAAAAACACTTTTCTCTATTCCTTTTGTATTCCAAACATCCGTAACGGAATCGAATCAGATATCATTCACAGGATTCCTACACGATATAATAAATGAAAGAAGTAAAATTTCGCTTACATGGAACATTGTCATCCTCACTGGTAGACATCCGATGTTTCGCCGTAAGACACTTGCCTTATCGGCTCTTCAGTACCAAATACGGATAACATTATAAGAAAACACTCTCAATTCATTCATATCGAAATACTTTGAAAGGTATTTCATAAAGGACTTTTGTAGATGTGATTAGACATTGTTTGTCAAGAGATTTGGTCAAATGTTGTTTTTGTTTACAGTACGGAGGTAAATAGTAACCCTCCTCTCATAAATTTCCAACGAGGCAAACTTTTTGTAAATAGGAATCATTTTTAGCACTTCCTGATGAAGAAAAGGAAATAGTGTGACATCACTTGCCGCCGAGAGGGCGGTATCAACAATTTTTTTAGCAGAAAAAGGAGGTCCTGTGACATTACATATGATTTTCGGTAACCGATTTCAGAGTTATTATGTTTGAATTTGGGAATCGGAATTTCGTAACTCTACCACTCTATATCAGATTTTTTCAAATAAGTGTTCATTAGGAAGAGAAATGAATTGGTAAATTTTTTTATAATCGATGAGTATTAATTAACTTCAAAGGCATAAAACGATAGCATTTTATTTGAACCTCGTTGCTTATTACCTATTTATCTTGTAGATAAATATATCATTTTTGCAAATGTTCTACTGACAGTAAAACCTTGTATGTTTGATTTCATTTCTAATATTTTGGAATTTTTCTGGGGTAATGCTAGCACAAATTTTGGTAATTCTGAATTTAAGCTACTGTATCGTTTCAGATTGCGTAACATAAACTTTCGCGCACCATCTTGTTGGAAAACAGCTGGATTTTCGATATTATCTTGATTGTTAGCCACAATTTCTTCAAACCATGAGTGAATGAGATTTTGAAGAAATTCCAAAAATAAATGACCTGTCAGATTTTCCTCTTAATATATGGGACCAACAATATGATTTTCCAATACTGCTGCCAAGACATTTATTTTCAAAGGACAAAACACAAGCACTACTGGACTTTTGTAGATGTGATTAGACATTGTTTGTCAAGAGATTTGGTCAAATGTGATTTTCCAATACTGCTGCCAAGACATTTATTTTCAAAGGACAAAACACAAGCACTACAAGAAAATCATCAAGGCGCTCTCAGAACGGTGCCTGTGCGAAAGTAGCGATTCACATTGGATTTGAATCGCTGGAGATTAAATAAATTTGAAAAAACGTTCTCGGGAAGATTATTCCACACAAACGCAGTTCTCCAGATGAAAGAGTTCTTAAACAGTGAAGTTCGAGGTGTACTGAGTTGAACCTTAAAACGAGAAACAGCCACAGTCCGTCGCGTATTTCAGATATGTACCGCTCTTGGTGGAATCAAATGTGCCAAGTCACTTGAACACTTCCTGTGAAAGTATATATAGAAGAGAGACAAACCTCCAACCTTTCTTCGATGTACCAGGCTATCAATGTTGCACGTGATGTTTGCGTTTCCAATCAGGCGGATGGCTCTTTTCTGAATGGAATCCAGCAACTTCAGGGTATGTTTGGGGGCAGAACTACATACATGAGAACAATACTCTAAAGAAGGTCTGATCTGAGCTTCATAAAGCATAAAAAGCTGCTAAGGTGTGTACAGTTTTTAGGTTCGTAACAGTGTTCCAAGCTTTTGAAAAGCAGCGTTTGCAATTCCAGCGACATGATTGTGCCAAAACATATTGGTATCTATTTTAACTCCCAACAACTTTTCGAAGCGAAAGCGGAATTGTCTAACCTGACATTATATCCGATTCGGAGACATTTATATTCTTGGAGAAAACCGATGCCAGGGTTTTGGTGGCATTGAATTGAACCTGGTTACTTTCACCCCAATTCGAAATCACTTCTAGATCCTCATTAAAATATGCAACCTCCTGCTGCCGGAGAAGATGCGCCTCCGTAGCCGATGTCCTGGAATCCAAATAAAATGACGAGACAAGTGTGCTGTGGTCAGCAAAGCAATATATTGGATTCTTGGTTTTTTCCAATAGGTCGTTGATATACAATATGGAGACAATATGGATCCCTGGGGAACACCAGCGTTGATGGTGAAAGTATTCGAGAGATATCCATCGAAGGCCACTTTTAGAAAACTTTCTTTCAGGGAACGTTCTTTCAGGAAGCTAAAGAGTCCTACACAAAAATGATGCGACAAGACATAGCATCGAAGTTTGGTCAGCAAGTCCTCATGCCACACACGGTCAAATGCCTTAGAAATATCAAACGCAACAGCTCTTGATTTTCCATGTTTCTCGATTGAGTTATTCCAAATATGGGTGACATACGATAGAAGGTCGCCTGTTGATCTTGGTTTCCGAAAGCCATACTGATGATCATTCAAGATGTTGAAGCTTTCCAAATATCGCACATGACGAAATGGTTAAGGCGAGGTTTTCAGTGTTACTATTTTCCGGGTTTGAAGGCCGTGTATTTTTGGAATTTCTTCCCGACGTTTCGCTGGCGCAAGTGGCTAGCTTCCTCAGAGGTTTCTACATCTTGAGTTAATATCTCTGATGACTAGATATTACGGCTGCGTAACGCGTATTTACGTTGACTCATCAGGTAGTTTGTTGTGCCAGATACAGGTATTAGCACACCAAACTACCCGAGGAGTCAACATAAATACGCGATACGCAGCCGTACTATCTAGTCATCGGAGATAGATATATAAACCTCTGAGGAAGCTAGTCACTCGCACCAGCGAAACGTCAGGAAGAAACTCCAAAAATCCACGGCCTTCAAATCCGGAAAATAGTAACACTGAATATCGTACATTTTGGCGGTTGACATTTCCGTTTGAGAAAAAAGTACAGTCGTCACTAAACCAAATACTTTTTATGCAGTTTTGATTCACAATCAAACGTTAGAATATTAACTCACAAAAAACTGCTATTTTCTGTCATAGTCATGTTCATTTAATTCACGAAATATCTTCAGTTTATACGGGTGAAACTTATGTTTTCTGAGATATTTCTTGATGCTAATTGTTGAGACATCATTCACACGGGAAAATGTTATCGTAGATTGCATGATTTCTATCTGTTTTTCATTCTAGATAGATTTTTGTACAGCTTCTCAAGCTCTAGCTACACTTCCAGTTGTTTGAAATATTTCAACCTATTCCCTGAGATACTTTCGACAGATCAGATTATCAAGAAATCTTACATGAGCATTGCTTATGTATTTTCTTTTAAAGATTTAGCGCGAATCATTTTTGAAAATGAAGCGAATTCTCAATATCAATAGAAACAGCTGTCAAGCCAATATGATACTATCTGTTTCTAGGATAACAGTTTGGATTCTTATCTACATGGTCGATCAGCAAAAAATCCTAAATTGGGTTAAGACAACCCTCTTTTGGTTGCAAAGTTACAAATTTCCTAGTCACCAATCCGAATACAATAATTCCGCAACAGGTTATCCAAATTCAAAACAGTGAAGGTCATTGTATAGAGAATTGAAATACCTTTCGAGCAAATAGTCACAAGACCCTCTTTCTACTTCGAAAACTAAGTAGATAGCGCCCTCTCTGGGGTGAGTGATGTCACACCGTTGGGTTTTCATTAAAAAGTACTAAAAATGATTCCCCTTCATACAAATTTTGTCAGACTTTGATATTTTGCTCTGTTCTACAGGATTATTTTATAAGTAAATGAATTAATGATATAGTACAAGCCAACTAAGATGAGATTTTGATGCGCATTTAAAACCAAATTATACCCGCCCCAGAAGATAGCTATTGGTCACATAAACTGACTTAAGTGGGCGGAGTCTTTTAACATAGGACGATTTTACGTTTCTGCGCTGACTCATCTTGGTTGGCGCGTACTGTGATTAACTCAAGTTTATCTAAATACTTAAATGCACGTAGATGAACTTGAAATGAGACGAATTACTTTATGTATATGGAGATCTACAATACCTTCTTGGTATGTGACTAGGTTCAATGGCTCCCAATTCTCCAATAACCTCACCACAAGCCAGTTTCAATGCTTCATCTTTCTCTCTGCAGCCTAAGGTTAGCAAGTCAATGAGTTCTATGATAATGGGATCAATACCATTATAATCCAAAATCATTTGATCCAACTCTTCCCTGCTCTGTTCTAAATATGTCTTCAATTGCTTCAATCCCTGTATCCTAACCTCCATGGCTTCATGGGTTAAATATTTTAAAAATCTTGAAATTTTTTCTTTTAATGTACATATTTCCAGAGGTTTCAGGTAATTCTTGATAAGTAATAACACCTCGTGATCTACTTTGGGATTTTTAACAAAAAACAAATCTGGAATATAGCTTTTTACTGTTGCTTCATTTTCAATTATAAGATACTTGAATATATCATTAATTTTCTTAGGGCAAGAGTCAAGCAGAGGTATCACAGAAACAAATATGAGGGCCAACTGAGGCCCAAGAGACTCAATTTCACAAGTGTGAACGAAAGAGTTCCACACTTCGCAGGTGAGATTGGGGAAATTCCCATAATTTGTTGTTTGTAGCATAGCAATTATTTTAAATCGTAGGGGCATGATATGCTTGGAACCCATAAACCTGAAATATAATCACTATGATAACCAAGTTATTAAGGTGAACAAAAAATGACATACCTGAATAAGTCTGCCAAACTCAACAAGAATTTATCTTTCTTCGAATTTTTGGAAATCAATTTGCCATCGAAATAAAGCAACACCCCCAGAAAATGTGAATGAAGATAATCTGGGATAGATTTACTTTTATTTTCACTATCTTCGTTTGATAAAAGACTCAGCGCCTGTACGACTTTGTCTCGCCTCTCATGAAAGTTGAGGAGGAGCTCGTTTAGAATTATCTAGAAGAAAGTAATTACTACAATCTACTGATATTCTGTAGAGGCCAAGCTCACCCTGAAATTTCGTTTACGCAAAGATGGACCACTCATGCCAGTAGTCCGCTCCAAATATATCATGCATTTTCTTAGATCATCTCTTGACATATCTAGAAATATATAAATGAAAACATATCCATATTTGGAAGACACCATTTCTGATACATCTGTGTCCATCATCGATGCCATTTCTTGTATGAGCTTAGTAACCGCTGGCATTTTCACAATTTTTGATACCAAAAAAGGCAAAAGATAATTGCTTTCTTGTGTGACAAAATCTTTGCAGCCATAGTAACCCAACATAACTGAAACTTTTTCCAAAGAAGTAGACAAACCATAATTGATCAAAGCCTGATTGACAGAACATAGTTGAACAATTACTTCGCAAAACACCTTTTTATTCTGGGAATAAATAATGGATGTGCTAGTGTTATTCCTTTCAGCCAACTTGAAGCATTTATTGACTGCAATCATTGAATATTTTGAGGTTGGTACCATTATGAGGTGAAATAGAATTTTCATTAGTTCAATACTGATATGTTCTGATTTTATAGTACTTATCACTTCAATTGTATCAAGTAGGGTGTCTTGTAACTCATAGTCCGAAAATTTCAAGGACTTTTTTGTGTATTTGAGGATAGAACTAAAGAGTATGTTCAATACATCCATTTTGATTTCTGGAGCCAATACAGCATTCTCCTAAAAAAACTTTTTATTGAACACATTTCAAATTTGACCTCATCCTACCTGGTTGAACTTGAGTGTTTTGCCGATAATATGGGCAAATTTTCTCCTCACATCTTTATTCTGGTCTCCTACCAGCTCTACCCAAATTTTTGCAACGCTGGTTGAGTGGAACTGCAGTATGTGACTGGAGAAGTTTGGTAACGTACTCAAAATTTCTATTTTTAAATTTACAGATGCACCAGTGACGAAACTGAGAACATGTTTCAACATAAAAGTGGCAAGAGATTGGTCGAGGGTTATTTTTGAACAGTTTGCTACTAGACTATTTCCATGTTGACTGGCTATCTTCTCCAAGTTATTCTTATTTCCTTTCAATTCATTAAAAGTGCATTTGTTACATATTATCATTGAATCTAAATTGGAAGACATATTGTTCCATTTAACAATCTTTATAAAATCCGAACTTATGCAGCACAGAATATTAGAGAAAACAGCTGTGGCCTTTTCCAAAATTTCTTTATTTTGTTTGGTGAATATAGGTCGCCAAATATCAGTTATTAGAACGTCAGGTTCCTCAAATATAGTCAAAATATATGGTAATGTTTCAATAACCTGAAAATTCAAATAGTAAAGTTCTGATATGGGATAAAGAGACCGCAATTTGACCCTCAGCATCAAAAGCATTCTAAAAAACAACTCAGTTTTTTTTAAACAATAATCTTTTGGAAGGCATTTTTATAATGTAAGTCCCGAAACAATTAAAAGAAAATAATGGTTTTCCTGGCTGTACGAAACTTATGGTACTACTACATTATCATTGTGATTTTATCATAGCTTTCATTTTTAATAAAATGAAACAAACTTCTAAGAAAATATTCTTTCCAAACCTGAGTTCGAAATTACTTGGTCTTTTTGAAGGGTCAATAAATCTAACATTAGCACTGACATTAGGATGTAGTAAGTTCATTTAGAAAATTATTTTTCCCATCAGTTTCATGAAACGTATAGTCCATATCTTTACTTTCATCATTACATCCATCTTTTATCAATATCTTTAGGAATGATACGTTTTGCTTACTGACCAGATGAAACATAAATATTGATTGATACTTGGGCGAAATTAGGCAAAAAGAATATAGGCTATCATAAAAAGTGTCCAAAATCAAACTTGTCAAGAGTCAACATGAGGTGGTACTTCCATCATTTATGTACAAAGAGAGTTTAAAAATATTGATTCCAATGCCCGCTCTGAGCACTGACACATCAAATCTCAATTTCAGTTTAAAAAATTACCTTGTTATTACTTATGGACTTGTCTGAAGTATAAGATTTGTTTATAAAATTTCAAGTCCTCTTCTTTTACAGAAGCAAGTAATTAAATTCCACTAGCTGCATTTTCAGTGCCTGTTACTGTGGGATTTTTAACTGTTCATTTCTAATTTAATTTTCATTAAAAACTTTATTACTATCTTCTGAGATTGTGTCTAAGCCTTCTCCGTTCTTAGAACCCAAAAAAGTCACTTCTAAAAAAGCACCTCAGATGAAAACAGGTATATTTTCTTTGACGTTTGTCCGAATTATTGAACTCTTCAGTGGTTTATGTTATATGTGGACTGTTAAAAAAATAAGGTGAATTTTCAAATTTCGCAGACTACGTACATTCGATTAGCGTTAAAATAAAAATTATGTTAGTTAGGTTAGCCTTAACGTGAATGGGTCTTTCGACCCTCCACCGCAACCCACAAGGGTTTATTGTGGCTCACACCTATTCACACTCGACCAAATAAACCCATATTCAAACGAATTAGTTTGTATAGTGGGTGGTCTTTCAGGTAAGATAGTAAGAGTACGGCTCTGCCGAACTCTAAAAACCTGATATGGTCCGCAGCGGGGCAGGCACAAAGTATGTGATCTGCTGTTTCATCATTTTCCAAACAGAGGCGACACACAGAGTCTTCCGACAGTCCGAGTCTCTGCATATGATGATTCAAATGACAGTGAACTGTAAGAAGGCCTGTTAGACATCGTAGTTCATCCTTACTGTAGCCCAAAAACTGTTTGGTATCAAGCTTCGAAGGGTGAATGAACAAACGCCTTGGAGTGAGCCAATCCTGGAAGATTCTGCCAGAAGTCCATAAATCTTCTTGCCATCAAGGTGTGTTCAATGTTTGTTTGGCAAAGCCTAAAGCGATGCCAATGACAGGTTCTGGTCTGATGAAGCTGCTTGCAGCATCCTCCTTTGCAAAGGACTCAGCAGTCTCATTGACTTCCAGGCCAGTATGGCCAGGAATCCAGACCACAGATGTTCTGTTAACTCTTCCTATAGTGAAGAGTCGTTTATGGCAATTTGCTACCAATTGAGACGTTGCTTGGTGGGACCCAAGGGCTTCCAAAGCCTCTTGACTGTCCGAGAATATTTTTATTGACTTGTGTATGAGGTTGGATTCTTCCAATCTTTCTGCACACAATTCAATAGCGTACATTTCTGCTTGAAATACAGTCTCATAGGTTCCTAGGCAAGTTGATATCTCTGTCCTGGGTCTGCGACTGAAAACACCGCACCAGAATTGGAAGGTGTTTTTATCCATCTGTGAATGAACAACTATCTGCTCTTAATATTTCCTTCTCCCGGAGGATCCAGTCCTCTCTACTTGGGACAGTACTTTATAAGGCAGTTCGTATGTACCAGATTTGACACTCTGCGACTTTTTTCTGTTCCCAACATTGAAGAGACCCATGAAAGGATGGCGGATTGAGGAGATTAAACCGAATCACTGAGAGAACTCAAGGACATACTAAAAAGTGCATATCAGAACTGCTTTAAGGATAGGAAAAAACGCTGCGACAAGTGTATTATATTTGAGGAGAATCCTTTGAAGAAGATAAAATAGAAATTGATGAATAAATAAATATTTTTGAGAAAGATGAAAATTCACCTAGATTTTTGTACAGACAGTGTATAGTAACTTTTCATGGTTCACTTTTCAGTTTGCCTTTTATTATACTTCAGCAGAGTCTATTAATTTAGCTTTGTTAATTTCTCAGATTGTGGTAGGTTAAATATCAAAAAAACAGCAGCAAACATTGACTCCTGCACAAAAAATGTTTTTCGAAGAATATTATATTTATTTTATCTTCATTTTTGAAAAAACAATATACACTGATAAAATGAATTTTCAAATCATGTCATAGTTGGGAGTGGTTCATAAAATATATAAGAAATTCTAAATTGGACAAGTTTTGATATCTGAAAAATTCTTTTTCATTTTAATAGATGATAAATTCGTAATGAAGATTAAAAAAACAAAAAAGTATCAATTAAGGACTGTACAGCTGACATATATTTAACAACTTCAAACCTTGATGTTGAATACAAATTTTTTGAGGTAAAAAATATCCCTTTTGTTATCACTATCATCCTCTTCACCTGTAGGATTCAAAATTGTGAGTTTTTCAATGAAGTATAAGAAATAGAACCATAAAAATATACCTATCACCACAGAAGCGGATAATGTTGGATAAAATTAATCAGATTTATTTGTTCTGAATTTTAAAATTTGCAAGAAAATAAATCAGTTACTAATGAAAAGAACATTAAGAGTATTTAAAATATGTATTACTTCAAATCTGCCGAAAATCTGATTAAAGATGCTGATAAGGTCAGTTCAATTATGATTTATTAGACAAAATTTCAAAAGGTTTTGAAAAATTGATTTCAAATAAATCACTCACCACAATAGTACCCTCTTGATCCGAAGACTCCAAAACACTCTTACTAATCTTCAAGTACAATTTTTCAATAACCTTAATTTGCGAGAAATTCACATTCAACAGGCCACTCGAAACAATAGTGAAAAATTTCTTTAAAAATCTAAGAGACACATTTCTATTTATATTTTGGGAAGATAAATGATTATAAAATGATTTGATAACCATTTTCAGATCTCCAACGGGCACATCACTGATAAAATTATTGGGAAACTGGTTATCATTTTTATAACAATTATTTTTCAAAAGAGAAAATCCCAAAAAGTTGAAAATGATGTCCAAATTTCGAGAGTTTGTGATAAGAATGAACAGGAGAAAGAAATTGAAATAATGTTCAACATTTATCTGTTCACATCTAGTGCCATGATTCAAAGTTTTCTCAATAAAAGTAAGTAACAACTTTCTTTCTTCGAAAAAATATAACATGCAACGATATCCTTTAGCTTTGATCAGCGACATTTGAATTTCCATCAACATGTCTGAAAGACTTTTGAAGAATCTGATCAGCATGTACATATTACATGAATCAACACATTTCAGTTCAACTATTCTTCTCATGATGGTATCGTGAACTAAGCTCCAAACTTTGCTAGATTCCATATCAAATGCCTTTATTCCCACTGACAAATTTTCTACTGCAAGCAAATCATCATAGATTTGTTGTTTAAAAAAATGAGGTGATACAGTATTTGTAAACTGAATTATATTGTCAACATTGCTCAATAATTTTGAATTTTCGTATGTCAATATTCCTGAGGTTTCAATGGCAACTTTCTGAACACTTTCAGATGGGTACTTTTTATTATTGATTATACATATGTTGAAAATAAAATCATATATTCTGTTAATATTCTTGAAAGAGCATTTTAAATCATTATTCAATTTCATATAGCTGATGAGAAGTGTTTCAAACTTATTCATGTTTTTTTCATCATCTATTGAATCATAAGTTTTGTAAACAAATTGTTCAAATAAAGAAAAAAATGAAATTAATGTACTTCTTAGGTCAACACTGTACTCTTCAAATTTATGGTTGGTTATTTTTAAAATATCTAGGAAGATTTCAGTAATATCGAGCTGCATATCGTCAATCACTTCACTGAATAAAAATAATAAATTATTCATATTTTTGCAAGTAAACTCATCAAAACTGTAAAAAGTAAAATTTTCTGTCAATTTTTCTTTGATGATATTTCCATGAAAACTTGGCTCAAATCTAGCATGGAATTCAAATCTTCAAACTTTTTTGGTACAAAAATTTGTAAAATCAACTTTTCTCCAGGCTGCTTATAATAGTTTATGATATTGTCAAATGCTTTACTATATTCACTCGAAAATTCTTGAAAATATTGCAACTGAGTGCTGGACACGTGATCCAGGACACAGAACTGAGTTTCTATTATAACATCATGAAGTTTGGAAAATCTTTCACAACCCAACAAATAGAAAAATTGGCCCAATAACCAGGTTGTGAATGTTTTATATTTTTCACTGATTTCCTGGTATTGTTCGAATGTAAACATTGGATCTTTAGCACATATGAATATATTGGAACATTCTTTTGATTGGATAATTGTAGCCAATCTTTTGACACTTGCTTCAGAACATTCTCCTTTCATCAAAACTGGAATAGTGTCATTGATCATTTTCCAACTTGAAAAAGCCGGAATAATTTCATCTATTCCAGGCATGTTTTATAACCTCTGAAAAATAAAAAAATTAAAATTGAGAGTAGGCTCCTCGATGAACACAATAATTACCGAATTCTTCAACTCAATTCCAGCTATTTCGAGTCTGAGAAGCTTTCATTCATTACAGTTATTTATTTTAATTCAAATTATATTGAATTCATGACATTTCGAATTAAAATAACAAAATTTATAACCTCAAAAATGTAACTAAAGCCTGTGCTAAAGCTAACGTCTGACGAATTTGTTTGCGATGTCGACTGAAAGATAATTGCTATTGGAAGGAACTGTGTTATATTTGCTTGTTTATTGGACGTCAAAAAGGCGGGAAAGCAAATGGCCAACAGTAGTACTGCATGTGCTAAAGGCGAGCCTTCACATATTTTCGAGGCAACATTTTAACGCGTATAATTAGAAGAAAAATATTACTTTTTAAAATTTTTATATATTTCTGACAGATTACAGTGTCTACTTTTTAGCAGTGGGAATAGACAGTACAAACAGTTGAAACTTTAGCTCTCACAAGTTTCAACTTTTGAGGGTTGTCGTTTGTAGGGGGCGAGAGCTAGTTGACGAAAAACAAAGTTGCCCACCCTTCTTACACTTGGCTGACGAGGCCAATAGCCAGAAACACGAGTCCAATAAATGGATGACATCTTACTTGAAAGACCGGGAACAATATATAAAAGTTTCGGGTGCAGTATCTGAGAAAAAAAAATTGAGCAGTGGAGTTCCACAAGGTTCTGTCTTGGGACCCATATTATTTTTGTTATATGTAAATGATCTCACTAACTTGAATATTAGCGGTAGGTTTTTTTTAGAATTTGGATTTAGTTAGCAGTGGAATTATCAAGCTTATAACAGTTCGGTTACTTTTATAAGTAATTCACAAAGAGTTATCAAAGGTGTTTCGAATCATCTTCCAAAATGAATGCAAATATCGATTATTCAAACGAAGTTCTTATGAAATTATTTATGAACATGAACAAAGTGATCAAATCATTGTCAGAACGTGTAAAAAATTCAACCAAATGTATCCTGGTTTGACACCAATGAACGAGAGGAAGTTTGTAAGGTTACAAAATAATTTCCATATTGTTTTGGATTATTTCATTTTATTTTATTTTTTAATAATCATGACCACCTGCTCATTTTAAGCAGTTATGATTTTTGTACTATTACATTTAGAAGCTTTGTCAGTAAGAATTCTATTATTTAGATAATAAAGCATGCTTTGATTTGATTTGTTCTCAGTTTTGCTCCATTTTTGAATGTTATGTTTGCTGATACTGCTTAGTTGATTAGGCTGAAACTGTGGTCAGCTATTACTATAGTTTGCGAAAAGATATTCTTAGGAAATGAAGATAGGCAAACACATGCATGAGAATATGGGAAAACCCAAAAATTCAAGTCCAAGTGATGAAAGTTGTTATACAGAATATATTGAAATGTTTGGCTAATCATTTATTAACGGTTTATTTTCTTCTATCAGCATGTGTACAAAGTTGGGTCAATCTCATTTTTTGGGTCGAGAGTTTTCTTTTCTACAAAAACGAAAGAGAATCGTTTACAACAACAGGGTTTCTATGCATCTCGTTATTTACATAGCCACAATAAAAACAATTAAACTGCACACAGTTGATTAAAAAATATACATTATTTTTCTCACTTGTTGCTCGGCAATAATCTTGCAGGTTGCAAGGCTCACATCGTTTCAAGGTTAGGTCCCATTTCCTTTATACCTAGTTCAGTCTACTCCGAATCAAAAGTCCGAATCAAATATATGATGGAAATTGTATTGTATAAATTGATAAATGTTCGACAGAAAGAACGTGAAAATGTCTCATTAATACATACAAATTAAAGTCTGTTCGTCTGTCTGAACACAATAAAAACTCAAAAACTACCTACCAAATAGGTTTTCATACAGTTTTCACCATTGGACGAAGTGGTTCAAGAGGAAGGTTTATGTGTATAATTTATCAATGTTTTGTGTGAATTAGTTGAAATATGAAGTGGGAAGTCGGGGCAAACGACCTGTCATAGAAAAAACTGCCTAATCCCTCTGATATATCACAAAAAATACACATTGATCATACACAATACATATTAATTTCCTTTTATATGCCTGTTTTATAGATCTGTTTGAAATGTGATGCAGCCGCAGCGAAACATCAGAAATGAAATTGTAGAAAGAAATTGCTGTTTTGGGACATGTTGCACTCGATTAGGTAGGTATCCAAACTAGGTACCTGTCAAAATTAAAATTAATAGAGAAACTTACTCTGAAAACTCAGAACGAAACCAACTGGTGAGAATAGGTAGTGTGCAGAGTACACAAAAAAAGTGAATTTTGGTATTCTACAAGGAACTGTTCTGAGATCTACGCTATTCTTAATATTATGAATGGACTGACCCATTCACAGGAACACATAGACAATCATAGTTTTTTTTCCAATACCCTATTACAGATACAAAAATTAATAACAAAGACTATTGAACTGGAGGAACATTCCCCATGTAGCTTAGTTTGTAATATTAATTTCTACCGAGGAAGCTGCGGTGTTAGCGAAACGCGTCTATGAATGAAAATGTTTGTTGAACATGTGTAATAACTATTATGGATAGTATTGACTCGTATGTTGATAGAACAGTGCTTTATTTTATGGATGACATTGCTCTTTACGTCGGAGGTAAAACTTCAAAGGAAGTCGAACAAAAAGTATCCAGGAATTTACAAATGATCAATGATTTGATACAAATTTACTAACCATACATTTGTAAAAACTGAATATGTTTTCTTCTCAAATTATAAAACTGGATTACCATGAAATAGAACAATTCATGTAAATCTTCCTTTTCGAAGACATGGATTCTTCAAAGCACTGATCACACTTGTTATCAATTTTTTTTCTTAGGAATAACGGTAGATATGGGACTCTCACATTCAAATACTGACAAAAATATTCAGGACGCTGATGTGCATGTTTAGACAAATTTCAAAAATAACCGAGAGGCAGACAGTGACAAATATAAATTATGCTTTTGTGTAATTACTACTATGCATGAAAGGATGGAAAGGGGCAAACGAAAACACCTTGAAGCCTCTCGAAATAGCTCGGAAACAAATAATAAAAATATTTCACCAAAAAAATACTGTTTTTTTCCGAAAATTTATTCAAGCAATCTCGATATTTCAATATTTTTTTCATGCACACCTTAGACGCGATACAAAATATACGAAAATATTGTACTACCCAAATCCAAAAAAAACAATAGGTCATCGCAATTTCTTATATGTGGGCCAAAATGTATAAGTTAATTTTCCGAAGGATCTGAAGGACAAAATTATATTTGAATCTTGAAAAAATATTTTGGATTGATCGATTTCTATTTCAATATAATGATGTCGTTTCAGTAGGTATTAGAAATATCAGTGTAGAAAAAATGAGGAAAACAATACAACTATATTTGCAGTCAAGCTTTGTATACGTAAATTGTTTGTATATAATTTGTCCTACTTTGTATTGTAATTACTTAAATCTTTTGTTGTATATTCATCTCCACCAAAATGTACAAATAATGTTTCCAAGGATAAATAAATATCTATCATCTATCTAACTAACGAGCATCGAGAACTAATTAAAAAAAAGTTCCAATGATTCCAAAACTGTGCGTCTACAGTTATCAACGCTATTTTCCAATTAATTAAAGAGGTGAAATCCAACAGTTCGAGTATCATCAGAAGGGTAATTTTGTGCCCTTCCAAATGAAGTATAGCTCGATCCGTTTTTTCATTAAAGAGTTTCTAGCAGGAACTCTTCAAGAGTTAGTAGCAGCTGGCTGCTGCTAGAGGTTGAAAGTGACAGTAGTGAGCGCATTTGTCTAAAAATAGCATATAAGTATAATGGAGAATGTTCCTCAATTTGGGTTATTACATCAAATGCAAGTTTGAACAAAATAAAGTTGAGTTTAATTCATGAGTTTTTCAAATTCACTTNACATCCATCTTTTATCAATATCTTTAGGAATGATACGTTTTGCTTACTGACCAGATGAAACATAAATATTGATTGATACTTGGGCGAAATTAGGCAAAAAGAATATAGGCTATCATAAAAAGTGTCCAAAATACTTATCAAACTTGTCAAGAGTCAACATGAGGTGGTACTTCCATCATTTATATACAAAGAGAGTTTAAAAATATTGATTCCAATGCCCGCTCTGAGCACTGACACATCAAATCTCAATTTCAGTTTAAAAAATTACCTTGTTATTACTTATGGACTTGTCTGAAGTATAAGATTTGTTTATAAAATTTCAAGTCCTCTTCTTTTACAGAAGCAAGTAATTAAATTCCACTAGCTGCATTTCCAGTGTCTGTTACTGTGGGATCACCGCCAAAGTATTGATTTTTAACTGTTCATTTCTAATTTAATTTTCATCAAAAACTTTATTAATATCTTCTGAAATTGTGTCTAAGCCTTCTCAGTTCTTAGAACCCAAAAAAGTCACTTCTAAACTCAGATGAAAACAGGAATATTTTCTTTGACTTTTGTTCGAATTATTGAACTCTTCAGTGGTTTGTTATATGTGGACTGTTAAAAAAATAAGGTGAATTTTCAAATTTCGCAGACTACGTACATTCGATTATCGTAAAAAAAAATAATTATGTTGGTTAGGTTAGCCCTAACGTGAATGGGTCTTTCGACCCTCCACCGCAACCCGCAAGGGTTTATTGTGGCTCACACCTATTCACACTCGACCAAATAAACCCATATTCAAACGAATTAGTTTGTATAGTGAGTGGTCTTTCAGGTAAGAGTACGGCTCTGCCGAACTCTAAAAACCTGATTTGGTCCCCAGCGGGGCAGGCACAAAGTAAGTGATCTGCTGTTTCATCATTTTCCAAACAGAGGCGACACACAGTGTCTTCCGACAGTCCGAGTCTCTGCATATGATGATTCAAATGACAGTGAACTGTAAGAAGGCCTGTTAGACATCGTAGTTCATCCTTACTGTAGTCCAAAAACTGTTTGGTATCAAGCTTCGAAGGGTGAATGAACTAACGCCTTGGAGTGAGCCAATCCTGGAAGATTCTGCCAGAAGTCCATTAATCTTCTTGCCATCAAGGTGTGTTCAATGTTTGTTTGGCAAAGCCTAAAGCGATGCCAATGACAGGTTCTGGTCTGATGAAGCTGCTCGCAGCATCCTCCTTTGCAAAGGACTCAGCAGTCTCATTGACTTCCAGGCCAGTATGGCCAGAAATCCAGACCACAGATGTTCTGTTAACTCTTCCTATAGTGAAGAGTCGTTTATGGCAATTTGCTAC